CTGATGCTTCCATCTCTTCTTTTTCTTTGGGAGCATGGAGTCAAAGGGAGGCTGTGGGCATCCTCTGTTGCTGCATAATCTGGCTTTGGCAATGCCTGCCTGGTAGCAGAACCCGTTCTGCAGAATTCCAAGCACATGCCCACTGGCAGCTTCTCGGCACATAAGAGCATTGCAGGGATGGCTCCAAAGTTAATGCTGCTGGTTCCTGATTTGGCTACAACAATACAGATAGGTACAGTTTCCTGGATATCTTTCCTGGGGGCCAGAAAGATGCACGCTTGAGCTTCCATTTTTAAACATGTGGGAGGGTCTATTTTATATTTTTAAAAGTGACTTTAAGGATGTACAGAATCCTGGCTGTGCCCTCAATTTTTTTGCATTGTCAGCAGGAGGAGACCCCTGCCTGGCGTCTTTTTTTTGCCCATTCCTAATTTTCCTCCACTGCCATCCCTCAAGATCTTGGCAGGATTATTTCTCTCCCATCTCCTGTTAGCACATATTGCATATTTCCAAGCAGTAGGGATAGGAGAATGGCTTGGGGATGGGTGGAGGGTAACCTGCTGTTTTAAGTAGGAAAAAAGATTCTCTTTCCTAAACTCAGGGATGGTGGTTTAGTGTAATCTGCCTTGGATAATTTGGTATGAGCCCTCCCCTCCCTTCTCAAAATGTATGAATTCTGTAGGTCATTAAGCAGCTACTCTTCCATTCATTTACTCCTAATAAGCAGGGATGCTATTATGGTGTGGCCCAGGAGGACCCTCCCTCTTTTCCTATTTTTTTTTTTAATCTCATTTTACTTTTCTTAGCGGGCAACTTTCCTTCTGCCAGTCAGCCGAAACTTGAATCGGCACATATAAATTGGCATGTGCTAATTTTGTGGCTACGCACAAAGTCTTTCAAGGCTCTAGGAAGTCCCTTGCTAATAAATCAAGTGTGAGTGATTTACTAGCTACAGCTGTCCAGCTGTTCACTCAGAAACAGTCATTGGTCCTTTTAAAAACACATTTTATTTTATTTTTTAAAAAGCAAACCAGATTCTACACCCTGCCTATTGGGAATCCTGCTCAAATCTGCCTCCCTCTCTCCTCCAGCTTCTAAATTTTTGCTTGATAGCATCAAAATGCTTTCAAGTTTACATACCGCTATAGGGCCCAGTAAATTGCTTTTAAATATGAAATTGGGGGTATTGAGGCAGTGCAGCCTCTGCCAGGTGATAATTTATGCCCTTACTAGTGTGTCCAGAGACTACAATCCACAGTACAACATCTGGATGCCCCAGAAACTGTACAAAGAAGCGTCGAGACTCTCTTGTTTGGTAAGAGAGCAGCCTTCCTTTCTCTGAGTCAGCGGCCACCTAGGGAGTAAAAGATTCCTCCAAGGCATATTGCAAGCTGTCCAGGTGAGATGCAAAGGACTTGGGAAACAGCAAGGAGGGAGAAGTTCTGATGGTGCAGAGATGGCAATTAGATTCTTAACTTGCCTTTTCCAGAGGGGAGGTTTAAGGTGTTGATAGTTTGATCCTCCTCAGTGCATCGGTGATAAAGAGGGCCAGTTATTTATACTGGTGGGGTATCTGGGGAAGTCAGCCTGGTTTTTGGGAGCCCCCAGAAGCTGCGTGGTACTGTGTTTCTCTGCTTGGCACTGTAACTTGACCAGATTCTAAGAATTGCATGGATGGGTCCAGCAGGCCGATGTTGCAACGAGAGCCTTGCGTAATGTACCGCGGCCTCCAACTTGGTTTGTTGATATTTGGGTTCATGAATGGACCTTTTGTATCAGTTTCCTTTTCCAGAGCGTGAGCATGAGCTTCTGTTGGAAGCTATGCGCTCAGAAGGTTCCAGTTCATCATGCTCGACAGCTGTTTTGCAATTTTAAAACCAGACATTGTATCCACAAGTGTTTCTTAATTGGGGCTTATTTTGACAATCAGAAGTAGCAGGTAAAATCCTGCTGTGTTCTACTCATGATAGACCCCAACAGCATTAATGGGCTAAGTGGGCCTAAGTTAGTCCTGCCTATTAATGCCAGTGGGTCTACACTGAGTAAAACCTATCTGGATGCCACCCAATTACATGAGCATCAAAGCAGACGTCAGCATTCCAAGGGAACCCTGCCAGGGAAATTTCACATTGTAGATTAACCTGCAGATTTTGTAATGGAGATTGATCACATCTCTGATCTGTGGGAGTCAATTTTAGGATTACAGCATTATGCTACAAGCAAAGTGTTCCAGGTAGTTCACACGGCGTGCTGCAAAGTTCAGGACAGCACCACATTTAACTTAATCCCAGACTGTTGCAGGGTTGCACGCTAGTTTCTCAAAACTGGCATCTGATCACTCAAGCCAAAAACTATATTCCAGTAACATTATCAGGGCAGGTATTAAGCTACATCTTAGCAGCATCTGATCATCCTACTGTATGTGTGTGATTTTTGACATTAATTCTGTATAATCTTAAGTCCTGTCTTTAAGGATAACATTAACTTTTTCCTTCCTGGGTGGAACTGAGAAAATGAAGCCAAGGTGTGGGGGAGAATAAATCTCTGTATTGGAATAAAGTGGAGAACTTGTGAAGGGTGAAACTGGATATAAAATAGAAGGGGTGAAACTGGGTATAAAATAGGAGGGGGTTCTCTCTCTCTCTCTCTCTCTCTCTCTGTGTGTGTGTGTGTGTGTGTACAGTTTCAAAGTTCCCAGTCTTTTATTATGTGATTCGTTGCTTTTAAAAATGCATCCGTTTGTTTTTAACGACTGGTTTTCTTGGCTAGTTCACCTAGGCCAGGGGTCACCAACTTTTTTGGAGAAGTGGACAGATTTTGAAATTTGAGAGTGTGCTGGAGGTGCCAGTCATGGAAAAGCTGATGGGAGGGGTGGGGGCATAAGAGCACCAGAAGGGCCAGCCCAAAGCATTTAGGCACCGAAGGCAAACCACAAAATGGCACACAGACACACCTGCCTGCCTGCCAGGGAAGAAGGGGTGAGTGACAATCTACATCAGGAACAGGGGGGAATAAAGACCTGCATTGGAAATGGGTGGGTGGGTAATCAAATCAACCTTAACCGATGGTTGAAGTGGGAATCAAAGGCTGTCGGAGGGTGGGGGAAAGGGCCCCCCCCTGAATCACAGTGGTGTGTGTGTGCAGAGCCCAGGAGACCCCAGAGGGCAGCCCCTGCCATTTCCTCTCTGGAGGTGGCAGCAGTGTTCAAAATTAGCCAAGCACATTTTGCACCAAGTGAAGATGCCTGGGCACCTGGGCACCATCTGTAGGTGCATGCCTGCAGTTCATTGGATCTGGACTGTTTTCACACACTAATACCGCCCCATCCTGTAGAATTCCATCAGTTATATTTTATCTGCACAGAACCTGGGTGCTTTTTTCTGTGCAGGAGCGGTGAATAACATTATAGTTAATTGTTGTAGCTTGTCTTCACTTACCCCCACCTCCCCACTACTGCCCACTACTGCTCACAGTTGTGAAGAACATTCTTGCGTTATGAATGGTCCATGTCACCATTAAGAGAAAGAGATAGGAATAGGGCTATATATATATATATATATATATATATATATATATGGACTGTCCCTGGATCAAGTGACTTTTCTTCAAGTTCTTGAGGTTGTCATCTGAACTAGCCAGATATTTAACCGATAGGCAACCACAGTTATTTGAAAATAACAATACTTTAGAGCCGTCTTGCCCACAAATGGCTACTAGACATTCCGTTTTGGCAACTGTAACCTTGGTTTAGGGAGCCATTTGGCATCTAGCTTCTACACCTGAGTTTCTAATACTGGGTGGGGGGAGACCAGCAGCACGTCCTATTCACCAAGAGGCTGCCGTAGAACCAGCATGAGGGGCTGCCAAGGAGGTGGCGGATCTGGCCCCAAGGAGCCCACCACAGTTGTCGCTGCCCCCATAGTAGCAGCAGTGGACAATGCGTTCCTAGGAGGCTGGACTTGCTGCCCTTATTGATCCAGCCACCTGAGGCAGTCACCTCACCTTGTCTCATAAGTAGGCTGGCCCTGGGCACCAGGTTGGCTAAAGCTAATGCAGATCATATTGAACTCAGTGGGCCAAAAGTTACCCTGAGTTAGATGGACTAATGGAGGGACGTCTTTTGGGGAAGGTTGCTTCCTATGTCCCTTTAGCACTTACTGTATATATAAATGTCAATTTTTTAGCCTTTATGACACATTTTATGGACTGTTTAGTTTTGGGGCCATTTGGTATAGCCTCACAGTGGCTGCTGCTTTTATTATTGTTGATCTACGATTACATTGGGACGCTTGCTTTTATTTGTCATTAGCTGGTATGTTTCAATGCGTTAATGTGCTTTAATATATTTAAATGATTGCTAGTTTGTTTTATGGTGACTTTAAAATGTCATAATGTCTGCACGTTACGTGAGTTATTGCTGGATTGTCATGTTAGGCCTTGAAATGATTTAGTGCTTGATTGTTATTGTAATGAAGTATTGGTTTATTAATTTTGTTTTGCTGTGAACTGCTTTGAGAATATTTATATGGGAAATTTAAATATTGAAAAATAACTTGAGGAGGTCAGGATCTTCTTGATGGCCACGAGGCCTGATTTGGTCCCATAGGAACCATGCCAAAGCATTCCCATTCACATCCAGGCAATGGAAATAAATTCTCAGAGCCACGTGTTGATTGTCATAGCTGAGAGCCAGCCAATAACTTCTTATTTTCTGATTGGTTTGTTTTGAAGTTTTTTTATGAAGGACTTTTTTGCCCTGCCCCACCTGCCAAATCCCTTAGGTGCCTCCTATGGGCACCTTTTAAAAGCTCCTCTGTGTTATCCACGTTGTATCCATGTTGTCCTCTTCCCTTTTCATTTGTGGAATCTCAGCTAAAGCATCCATGGCAGATGGCCATCCAACCTCTGCTTAAAAAACCTCCAAGGAGAGATGGTCCACCATCTCTCGTGGGAGTCTGTGCCACTGCTGAACAGCTTTTACCGTCAGAAAGTTTTCCCGACTGTTTAGTCGGAATCTCCTTTCTTGCAACTTGAAGCCCTTGGCTTGAGTCCTACCCTCCAGAGCAGGAGAAAACAAGCATGCCCCCTCCTCCATGTAACAGCCCTGAAGATATTTGAAGATGGCTATCATATCTCCTCCTCTCAGTCTCCTCTTCTCCAGACTAAACATCCCCAGCTCCTTCAAGTGCTCCTCATAAGGTTTAGTTTCCAGACCCTTGATCATCTTGGTTGCCCTCCTCTGCACACATTCCACCTTGTCAACATCCTTCTTAAATTGTGGTGCCCAGAACTGGACACAATATTCCAGGTGCAGTCTGACCAAGGCAGAATAGAGTGGTGCTATTGCTTCCCTTGATCTGGACACTATACTTCTGTTGATGCAGCCTAGAATAGCATTAGCTTTTTTTTTTGCTGCTGCATCACACTGTTGACTCATGTTAAGCTTGTGGTCCACCAAGACCCCTAGATCCTTTTCACAGGTACTGCTAGTAAACCCGGTGTCCCCTATCCTATATTTGTGCGTGTGGTTCTTCCTGCCTAAGTGCAGAACCTTACATTTGTCCCTATTGAAATTCATTTTGTTAGCTTGCGCTCAGTTCTTCAGTTTGTCATTTTGAATTCTGATTCTGTCTTCTGTGGCATTAGCTTCCCCTCCTAGTTTGGTGTCCTCTGCAAATTTGATGAGCATCCCTTCAATTCCTTCATCCAAGTAATTTATAAAGACATTAAACAACAACAGGCCCAGGACAGATCCCTGGGGCACCCCACTTAACACTTTTTTCCAGGATAACGAGGAACCATTAATGAGTACTCTTTGGATTTGGTCAGTCAGTCAGCTGCAAATCCACCTAACAGTTGCCTTGTTCAACCCACATTTTACCAGCTTCCTTACAAGAATATCCCTGATCCACCAAGTTTGTAATTCCATCAAAAAAAGAGAAAAGAAATCAGATTGGTCTGGCATGACTTATTTTTGAGAAACCTATGCTGGGTCTTAGTAATCACAGCATCCTTTTCTAAATGCTCACAGACCGACTGTTGAATGATCTGTTCTGGGACCTTCCCTGGTATTGATGTCAAGCTCACCTGTCAGTAGTTACCTGGGTCTTGCCCGTCTGCGTCTTCTTTACTAAAGCCCTTCAGCCTTGGAAAGCCTTCCAGGTTTCCTTGGAAAACATCCTTGGAAAGCCTTCCCTCTGCACACTTGAGGGTGTGGGAGATGTGGGAATGCCAAGTTTTGCCTTTTATCAGGGGATAGTTTTTCTGGGCAGAACAGAACGAATTCTGCTTGAGTACCGCTATCCTCAACTCAGACTGTGCTGCCTTTCTGAGGAAGGAGTAACTGCCTTTAACTTGCTTCGGCCAAAGAAGATTCCTCATTGTTCTATAGCAATGTTTTGTTGTTGTTTTTTGAAAGGATGAAACACTGACAGGAATGTAACTGTTGACCTTGGGCTGGAATAGGGTTAAGGAATGAGTGCTTCTGAGTCATTTCAGATAAGGGCCTTCCACTGCCTTCCCCCCCCTCCTCTCCTCCAAAATATCTGTTATCTCTTCTCTTCTCACATCAACATGCTTTGGTGACATCTCTCATTTGCCAGCAGAGAAAGGAAATGCTTTTTTCTCTAATTCGTTAATCTCCTGTTTTTATAATCTCTCTGAATATTGCCCTGTCTCTCGGTTGTTATGAATGCAAACACATTTACTCTCCCCACACAACTCGCCAAGTCTGAAAATTAGCTCTTAATTCACACAAGCATCTACAGCTGTCACTTGATGACTGGCGGCTAAATGTGTGAACAGGCTCTGCTGAGAAGCCCTGTGGTTTGTGAAAGTTCTGTCTGTCCAGAGCAGGAGTTGTTATTCTGTGGCCCTCCGGAAGCTTCCGGACTCCTCTGACCATTGGCCTTGCTGGCTGAGGTTGATTGCTGGAGTCCAACAACGTCTGTAGTGCCGCAGGTTAGTTAACCCTGGAGTAGAGCCTAGAATGGCAATAGCCTTGAGCTAAAGTGGAAGTATACAACATTCCAACTGGGCAACCGATTTTGTGTTCTGTCAGTGGTAGCCCATTTGTATGGTGCAGTCGTCCGTTGATGTTGTAGTCAACACACGGTTGGCATATGTGTAATCACAAAAGTGATTCCAAGCTTCATGAGAAACGGTTTCAAGTACTTAGGAACTAGCCCTTCAGGAACTGAGCTAAGTATTTAAATTTGTGCATGTTGATGTCAGACTTTTATGAAATGCCCACCACCAGCAAAACACACACAAAAGAACTGCAGCTTTTAACTCCTTAGATCAGTGTTCCCCAACCTTGGGCCTCCAGCTGTTTTTGGACTACAATTCCCATCATCCTTGACCACTGGTCTTGCTAGCGAGGGATGATGGGAGTTGTAGTCCAAAAACAGCTGGAGGCCCAAGGTTGGGGAACACTGCCTTAGATGGACTGCTTAAAAAAACACACAACTTCTTTATTGCTGAAAAAGACATCCCTGGTTAACACTTTTTAAAGAACTATTTTTAACCTTGGACTTGCTGCCCACTGACTTCTTTCTTGGTATCTTGGAAGAGGCATTCTACTCTCTCTCACCAGGTGGGAAGCCCCTTCTGAAATGGCACCTGTTGAAACATTTACCATCTGCATGTAGGAAGAAAGGAAGTGTGTTTTTCTCTCTTGGTTTAGTTACATGCAGACTTCTGCAGAATCAATTGATTAATTAACCAATTAAACTAATTTGATAATGAAACAGATCTTTAATCCGGAGATTACAAACGAAGAAGAGGAGGAGGAAGAGTAAATCTTGTGGTGCCTCAAAGGCTTATAACGTGTTGTGGCATAAGCTTTTGTGGACTGGAGCCCAGATCGCTCTGCATGATGGCAGCCATTGGACTTGTATGGAAATAGAATATACTAACTTGGCTAAAGGGTTCAGTTGTGTTTCTTAGCCTGGCATTGCTGCAAACTGGCAAATACCGAAAGAGCAATTTGAAGGGTGACAGATGTACCTCCAGTTGGCATCCCAGTTGTTGCTGGGGTCCAGTTTCATTCAGCCCCAGGAGCATGTCAGGGATGATCTAAGTGCACCTGTCATGTGAGAGCCAGGGTGGTGAGAATGTTGGACTGGGTCCTGGGAGACCAGGATTCAAATCCCTGCTTGGCCATGGAGCTCACTGGGTGACCTTGGGCCAGTCACTGCCTCTCAACCTAACCTACCACACAGGGTTGTTGTGGGGATTCAGTGAGGAGCAGAACCATGTATGCTGCCTTCAGCTCCTTGGAGGAAAGGGAGGGATATAAATGCAATAAATAATAGTCTCTCCCTGCACTAGACCCCACTCCTGTGTGTCATGCAATAGCCAATGAACTCCAAGTCACAGTAATAGCTCAGTGGTACAACTCCCATTTTATGAGTGGAAGGTCCCAGATTCAACCTCTGACATCTCTTGGGTCATAGGGCTGAGGAAAAACGGGAGACATGGAAAGCCATTTGCATAAATCGAGCATAGGGAACCTGTGGCCCTCCGGTTGTCGTTGGACTACAGCTCCCATCATCGCTGGCCTTGGTGTCTGGGGCTGACTGGAGTTTGAGTCCCATGATATCTAGAAGGCCACTGGTGGACCAATGGTGTAGTCCATTATAATGTAGCTTCCTGTAGAAGCTGCAGCTCACATGTAGACTAGCCAGAGGAAGGTCTGCTTAGCCAGACTAGCCAAGGGGGAAATGGCTGGTTCTCTTCTTCCTCCCCCAGCCCCTCAATATTTCCCTGATTTGGCCAACAAGGAGACTGGTTACAGCCTGACTTCCCAAGAGCCTGGTGTTCCAAATCACAGTTCTCAGCTTAGGGGCTGGAGTGAGTTTGGGGGGAAATGCAGTCTTCACAGGTAGTTCCAGTTGTACATCCCTTGTGATCGGGGGATAGTATTTGTCTGTCTTTCCCTCCAATTGCATTGGCTTCTTTCCTGCTCACCCCAAGTTCATGTCCTTTCCCGTGGTGCCAAAAGGAACACTTTCTTAGTGGCCAAAAGGGTGTGTTGAGTCTGCATGCGTGTGTTAAATTGGCAGCAACCCTTCCAACTGACAATCTTTGGTAACAGGCAAGGTAAATAAGTTTCTTAAAACTGATATCGCTGGCTGTTGTGCCACGTATTAGCTTTTCCTGTGATCGTTAAATTTATCCGCTGATTTGCATGATGTTTGCTGCCTTTTTCCCTTCCCCCCATGTTCTTCATTATGGGCAAAACGGCTTCTCTGACTTCAGTGGCAATAACTTTATTCCATGTCCTCATCTGATCACACTTTTAGCGACTTGACAGGTGGCTTTTTTGGCACACACATTTCTTTGCAAGAGCGGAAGATTCAAATGGGATTGTCCAGATGCTCTGGTCACTATATAGGAGGGGTACAGAATCTCAGGTCTGGCTTGGGTGGGGAGCAAATGCGGCCCTCCAGGCCTTTCTATCTGGCCGTAGAACTTAATTCATAGTAGCAATGAATGGATGCCAGTTGAATGCACTGAAACTGCCGTGCCTGCCCAAATTCAATTTTTTAAGCTTTTTTAGTGGAATCATAGAATTGTAGGTTTGGGACAGACCAATGCAGGAATCACAGCTAAATGCAATACTAAATACAAGTATAATAAGGATGCTAAATTAGATAACTATCTAGAGCATCAAAAAAGTTTCTGATGGAAATTACTCTAATTTTCCAATTCAAGGAAAATCTTCTGATTCAAAATATTCCTGAAATCCCACATCACTGATCGTAACAACTGTGTTAGTTTTCAAGGAGACACAAGACTCTGTAATTGTGTGCGGGTGTTTGTATGTTTTGCTATTTGCTTGTTTTTTTATTTGAACTCTCTGATGTTATTTTTAGAAACTGTTTAAATTGTCATTGCAATCCGCCTTGAGAACTCACCTGGTTAAAAGGTGGTGTCAGGCGCTGTACATCATGATGATTTGATAACAGCACCAGTTTGAAGAACTTTGCAGCTGATGCTCTGTTGTGATTGTGGGAACACACAGAGAGAAGGGCTGCAGCTCAGGGGCAGAGCGTCTGCTTTGCATGCAGAATGTCCCAGGTTCAATCCCTGCCATCTTCAGGTAGGACTGGGAATGTCCCCTGTTTGAAACCCCAGAGTGCCGCTGCCAGTCAGTGTAGACAGTATTGAGATAGATGGACT